CTGGTAGACACGGGAGCAGAAGTTAGCGTAATCCCTCCTTCACTATCCAGGCGATCTACACGGACACCCGGAAAACTGTCTCTCCGGGCAGCTAACCACACAAGCATACAGACGTATGGAGAGCAATCCCTCATACTGGATCTAGGTTTACGTCGGCGTTTCACATGGATTTTCATAGTAGCCGACGTCAGTCACGCCATCCTCGGAGCAGATTTCTTGAGTAATTTCAACCTGTTAGTTGACGTCAACAATAAAAAACTGATTGATAACAACACCCATCTAAAGATCCATGGAATTATCTCCAGCTATTCTGTCTATAATATCAGTATTGAAAGACCAGCAGATTGCCCTTTTTCCTCCCTACTTCACCGTTTCCCTAAAATTCTTAAGCCGTCGTACAACATCGAGGACGTCCCTCACACAGTCACTCACAAGATAGTTACTACGGGTCAACCAGTTCGTGCTCGTCCTCGTAGATTACCCCCGGACAAATTGGCAGCAGCCAAGGCAGAATTTGAACACATGATGCAGCTCGGCATCATCAGACCCTCCAATAGTCCTTGGTCTTCGCCCTTACACATGGTGCCTAAAGCTGATCATGATTGGAGGCCATGTGGGGATTACCGACATTTAAACAATGCCACAGTTCCCGACCGTTATCCTATTCCCCATCTTCATGATTTCTCCCTGACATTACACGGAAAAACCATTTTTTCTAAAGTAGACTTGGTCAGGGCCTATCACCAAATACCAGTTGCCCAAGAGGATATCGAAAAAACGGCCATCATCACACCTTTCGGTTTGTTCGAATTTCTCCGCATGCCATTTGGCCTAAAGAACGCAGCACAATCCTTCCAACGTTTCATGGATCAGGTCACACAAGGTTTGGACTTTGTATTTGTATATATCGATGACGTTTTAATTGCTAGCTCGTCGCCCGAAGAACATACTGATCACCTCACCATCTTATTTCAACGATTTGAGCAATATGGAGTCGTCATTAACCCCAAAAAGTGCATATTCGGTGTCTCCTCTATACAGTTTCTGGGACACCACATAACCGCGAATGGTATTACGCCTACGGAGGAAAAGATAGAGTCCATCAAAAACTTCCCCGAACCAGATTCACTCAAGAAGGTCAGACGTTTTTTGGGGATGTTTAATTTCTATCGGCGTTTCATTCCTTCGTGTGCCTCCATCGTCCAGCCGTTAACCGACCTCCTTAAAAATGATCCTAAAAAGTTTCAGTGGTCAGCAAGCACACGAATCATTTTGCAACGCAAAAGACGCCTTATCCAAGTCACTATGCTATCCCATATCAACCCCGAAGCGTCGCTTATTTTGTGCACAGATGCCTCCCAAGTAGCTGTAGGGGCAGTATTACAACAAAAGATGAAGGGCGAAGTCACCCCACTCGCATTCTTTTCTAAGAAGTTGGAACCGGCTCAGACACGATACAGCACTTTTGGGAGAGAATTGTTGGCCATATATCTTGCAGTGAAGCATTTCAGTTACTTACTACAGGGCCGGCATTTCACTATTTTTACTGACCACAAGCCCCTGTGTCATGCTTTCACTACTTCACTCGATAAACACTCCCCTAGAGAAGCCAGACAGTTGGATTATATCTCCCAATTTTCAACCGACATTCAGTACATCAAAGGGGATGCGAACGTGGTAGCCGATTCTCTTTCAAGAAGTGACATTAACCAGCTTCAAACTTCGGTAGACATCAGTATTGATCGTATGGCTCAGGCGTCGGTGGCTCAGTGGTTAGGACTCTCGCCGACCATGCACATGGTCCGGAGTTCGAGCCCACGCCGGCGCACACCTGATGTCTATGGTCAGCCTGCAAAATTTGGGCTACCGATATCCGTGCTGAAAATCCCATACATGTACCAAAAATACAGTGTGGAATCAAGCTGTAAATCAAAAATCAAAAATCAAAAAAAAATCAAAATGACGTTGAACTCCGAACCTGCAGCAGAAACTCTTCCTTACAGCTCAAAGATGTGCCTATCCCCTTATCAAATGCAACCATATTTTGCGATGTATCTACCGGCGCTAATCGTCCATTTGTCCCTCTCAGTTGCCGAAAAGCATTGTTCGAACATTTACATTCGCTTTCTCACCCTGGAGTACGCGCCACGGTCAGACTGATCAACGAACGCTTCGTGTGGCCTAAAATGAACTCTGACATTCGGAGCAGGGGACGAGAATGTCTCCAATGCCAATGCTCCGAAGTACACCGCCACACTATTACTACCCGAAGACGCTTGAATTACCCGAAAGGAGATTTCAGCATATCCATATAGATATCGTGGGACCATTGCCAAAATCAAGAGGATATACACATATCCTGACAGCGATTGATAGATTTACTCGTTGGGCTATTGCATTCCCCTTAAACGATATATCTGCTGAAAACGTTGCTTTGGTTTTTCTCGACCGGAACACAGCAGCTACAGCAGACGCAACCCAAACAATTAACGTACCCGTGGGTTATATAAATAATTTGTAGCAGAGGACTTAAACTTTATATCCAAGTAATCCTTTGTGTTGATATAACTCGTAATTGCATTTTTGGTAATATATTGTTATTTGACATTTCATTGACTTGGATTATATTTCTCATATTTATAATACGGCCTCAAGCTAGTGGCTTGAAGTTTCGGTAGCAGTGTTTAATTTTACAGGGTGCTAGCCTCATACCCAACCTTTCCTCTTTACCTGGATTATTTCTGGCTTAGCGAGGCAAAGGAGTTTGTCACTATACTTATTTCAAAAAATCATACACAAGAATATTTTTTATAAGAAAACCGTGAGCGGTTATTATCATAATTTGTTTACTGCCTAAAAATCAGAAATATCCTGGATGTAAAACTATTTTTTTTGTGGAAACACACACACTCTCTCTATCTGAAGTGAGTTTTTTCGCTTCACAAGTTAAGGAGTAAAAGTGGGACTAATTATATATTAGGAAAAATATTTAAATTAGTCAGGCACATTAAATTCTCTACATTGTAATCAACTAGAGAATAAAAGTCATACGCATCAGTTTCCATGTTACTGACTGGTTAAGAGAGAGAGAAAAATATTTAAAATTTGTTCCAGATAGGCTCGGTAATTAAAATTTTTATACGGTATATAATCAGAATTTTACTTTCCTACAATTGATATTTCTTAGTGAAGCGTCCTATTATTACAGAAAGGAAATAACGTTTATATTTGACGGAATAGCATGTGTCGTACTGTGAATCGAAAACAAATATATGTACATCGTATACATTTCCTTACACTAGATTCAAAGTCAGACTTTACCACAGCACATGCTACTAAAGGGATCTAAATATCGCCTTCAGATCAAGACAAAATGCAAGAATCAGATTGTGGTTATCATGCTAATGTTTCAGAAGATCAACAAAGCCTCTTTCATGCCTGAAGCTTGCCTGATTCTTGCAGGCTTGATTTCTGAAGCATCAGTGAGCCTTTCCAAGACTATGGAACCTAGAACATTACATAGCATGTTAGTCAAGCTGATGCGTTTGTAAATATCATTGGGACTTTCAGGCAGTTTTTTCTAAGATGGAATAATTGACTATCTTGGATTCCCATACACCAGTAGACCCCCTAGACTAGGTTGAGAAGGCTAGCCTTTTCTGACGTCTTCTCTCTAACACGAGAGGACAGCACAGGTAATTTGTAAGTTCTTTGATAAAAACACCTTACTGATTGTTGCTTCAGTCCTATCCACCAATAGTATGACTTTAACGTCAGACTTTCTCAGTCACACAGTAGCCAACTTACCCTATACTTGTAACAGATTTTAATCTAACCTCTACCTGACTACCTTTTCTGGCATTATGAGACCATTAGAACCACTTGTTCCATTCAGAATAGTTGTGATAAGTCAATTTGACTGTCAGTTCAAAGATTTTAGCTACCGATTGCAAGTGAGATATTTAACACGTGTTTTAGAGTAAGCTTGTTTAAAAATTTGTTCAAAGGTTCAAATAAACCCGTTGTCTAACGCTCTTATCATATTCAGTGGACTGAAACAAATCTTTTAGTGTAGTGATTACATGATGAGTCCAGTATGCAATACACAGAATTATACGGTGAAAAACTCTTCGACCTCTTTCTGATGAAACATTTCACCTTAAATTATTTTGATTTTAGATTTGATTTCATCGTTGACTTTCAAGAGACATAGCTGTAATTTCAAAATAAAACCTTTCTTTCACTTGTCCCTAGGAGTATATCTATGCGAAATACTGCTAAGACAACATCTGGAAGGAATATTACTGGAGTAGTTAAACTTCACACACCTAATAGACATGAACATATTAACGACTTTGGTACTCTCGGTCACAGTGAGACGATTTAACCAGGTAAATAACACTGTTTTCATGAAAAATGTGTTGTACGAAGTTTAGTGGGATTAAACAGGATTAGGGTTACTTTAAGGGTAGGGACATGTCACGACTATGAAGACATCAAGGTTGAGTTAAGAGCCAGAGTCTGCTTCCCAGCATAAGTGTTCATTCTAAGACCACTGTTGCGTCTGAATCCCGTGGTTGTCTAAAGCTTAACTTTGCCGTATTTTTTCACTAGACCTACGTTCATATCTTTTTTGTCAGTTTTCTCTTTTATTAAAATAAAGTCCAGAAAAAGCATCTTCTAGAAGAAAAAGTTAGATTTTCCTTTTTTTTCCTTCACGTTTCCAGTGGAACATAGGGCCTCAAGCTAGTGGCTTGAAGTTTCGGTAGCAGTGTTTATTTTGCAGGATGGGGTTTCTAGCCTCATGCCCAATTTTTCCTCTTTACCAGCATTATTTCTGGCTTAGCGAGGTAAAGGAGCGCGTTGTTGGCCGGGGATCGAACCTCGAACCATGTGCATGGTCGGCGATAATGATAAATGAAGTATTAAAAAGAATTTCTCTAAGGGATATGACAAACTAATCTAGTAAATTTGGGTAACAATATCAGTATTAAATTTACCGGTTGATTCTCCAGGCATGTGTATGATATTTACTTCAGATCCTATTAGGGTGAATAAAATAGGTTGAACAAACCACCAGGTAACTGCCATAGTTCTACGCATAGAATTTAAACAAGCCAAACCACGTTCAGCAGGAGTAGCTGGAACAACTTCCTCGCTAGTTGTTTGTATGTGATGGTTATAATTACTTGCATTATGATCATCAATGTTTGTTACTTGATTATTTTCATTTTGCTTTTGTATTCTTTTATCTACTTCGTTTGATGAAGAATCATCGTTCTCCTCCACTTCTTCAACTTTTCAACTGGCTGATTGTTGTAAAAGCTGCATACTGTTCTGCAAACGTTGGTACCACTGAGTCAGAATGAAAGAAAAGAAATGAAATGAAAGGGGACACAGTCTATAAAGCTAGCTGTATGCATAAAGTACTTCATTGAAATTAAACATTCATTACTGACAGTATGTGCATAATAATACCCATTGACTTTTGTGGAATAAATCAGTGAAAGATAGACTTACATATTCTTCTTTTTGATCTGTTTATATGACGTAGGGCATTAGCAGAAGAAGGACTCCTTCCTCGTCTAAACGACTGAGGCACAGAAAATGATTCAAGTTCATAGTGAGCTGTTGGTTCTGGTAGGCTGAATCTTCTAGAGGTCCTAGGCTTCGGGATCCCACCCACAGAGGTTGGCTGCATTTGTTGCGGATAATTGCTCTGCTGACGCTGCACTGGTGCTTCTCCTCGTCTGTCAGTGCCTGTAGCAGCTACCGCAACAGCTAAAGCGGGAAGATCACCTCTTTTTCTATCACTATCAGACATTATTCGATTACGGATGCTGCTACGATTACTTTGTTCGCCTGATGAATGCTGACCGTATTGTTGACGCAGAATCGAGCAATAGTATGGATGGAATTCAACTAATGATTCAAGTACATTCGAACTATTCGGATCTCTTTGACGTCTTGTCAAACTTTCACTGTCTATTCCATCATCTGAATGTCTGTCTTGCTCCTCAATAGATTCTAGTTTGTTAGGCATAACACCAGCCTTTTCTTGAGACTCATCATTACTGTACATAGAATTTCTTGCTGATAAGTCATTGTATTTATCAGTTAAGTAGTCAGAATTTGCACGATTTGAATTTTGTGTCACGTTTGGTTGTGTTTCTACAAGTATATTCGTTGACTGTGTCAAACGCCAGGGAAAACCGTTACGCCAGCCTGTAGCCACAACAAAGGCCAGAGTTAAACAGGACAGTGCACCCGCGCCAGGCAAATGTATAGCAACTGAACCGACTAGACCAGTTATCGCGAAACAGATAAGTAGAATTCCTCGAACAAGATGTGAATGTTCCTGAAATATCGAAAATAAAATTTAAGAATGGAAATTTATATTTTTTTCACTTCAAAATTCTTTAATTTAACAGAATAATTGAGAAAACCTACCAACCTAAACTTATCACTACTCCAAACTGACTGGTTCAACGAAAGTGAAGGCTGCATATTTATCACAAAAATATAAGATTGAAACTAAGTAGACATCGAAGAATAACTAGCGATATGAAAATGTTTTTAGCCAAACACTTCTTTCATGGACTTACTAAGCTAAGAGACCTAATGATGCTATTAAACCTTTCTGAAATGAAAGTTAGAATGATTCGGGTATTTTCTCATTATTACACGTCTGCTTAGAAGCTGGTAAGAAAGGGTTTTTTCATGGTACAGAGATATCTGAAATTATCCATTGCAATCTTATTCTTCTCATTCGATGAGACTAAAAAATCTTGGTAATTCCACCTATTTCTATCAAAGTAAAACTCTCAATCGAAATTAATTTGCAAATAATAACAGCTGAACACGTAGAGGCATTCACTTTCATTTTGAATAAAACTAAATTTTCAACCCAGAACTCTGCATAAAAGTGCATCAGTGAAAGTTTATTATTATTATTGTTCCCTTGGATTCCTGTGGAACATAGGGCTTCAACTGCACGTCTACACTTGCTTCTGTTTCCTTCTGCTGTACTTTTCACCTACATCCATGTTAGTCCATACTCTTTCAACTCCTCTTCACACCATCTCCTCCATGTCACCCTTGCACTAACGTCCCACTCGCCGCTGCCCTTTCGGGCTCCACTCGAGCAATGACCTGACACGCACGCGCAGTGTCACCCAGCGGTCTCCCCAGTGATCCAGTGTCCAATCCATCTCCACTTTCTCCTGCATATTTGTTGGTTGGTTATTGGTTCTTATTTTGTTTGTTCTCAGCCATAGTTCTTTGTTGGTGATTCTTTCCGGCCCGGCCATGTAATCTTCGGTATAGAGCCAGCGAAAACAATGTTGATAAAGGTCTACAACAGGCTGTTGAAAATATTCTTTGTGACCCACCTGCCAAGTTTCTGATCCGTATAGAATTTAAAGTTTACACACCTCATAAACGTATATACATAAGTAGGTGGGAAAGTGCATTAAATTGAAACAAGTTGTAGTTTAGTGAAATTTATAGTTGAAAGAATAATTCTGTTGAGGTTAGTAAGAATTTTCTGGATCTAAGAGGTCATAAAGAGCGAATAGATGTGTGATACTGATTACGACATCGAGCTACGTCACCAACAATCTCCATTCATTGGTCCTTAGCGTCTTGGGGACGCTTACCAGGTTCTCTGCACCTCCCTACGCGGAAGTCTCAAACCGAAAGTCGAAGACTTCATGAAATGACACCAGGTATTATTTTGACTACCTAGTACCCTTTCTTCATTCTACTTCTATGTCAGCTAACATCGCTCAGCAGAGAAAACCATGATTTATCATGAGCAACACGTCTTTTAGCTCCTTCAATCAATGTAGCTTGATGGACTCCCCCTACTTATCTAACACTACATGCATAAACTCAATATTACTTACTTTTTTAGAGCACCTAACGCCAGAAATAGAAAGTAAATATAGCTAGCCTCGCCAAGTCTTCAATGTTCAGATACTATGTCTCACAGGCAGAAAGAAGTACGAAGAGAAATGATGCTCAGTACACACGATCGATAGCTGACTACCACATCTACACTATGCATGAAGTTAGTTGACGAGTGCGACACTAACATATTTGTCCTTGCTAAGATTTCGTCAGTAATTAGCCCATTAGGGATGATGAAATCAAGCGAATACGTGAACGGTATTGTACTAAAGTTTTAAAGAATTTTTCCTACAAGCCAAAAGATACTGTTTACACTTATGCAATTTTTCATAGTGATTAATCTATTCACATTGTCATTCATTAGTGAAGATCCAGGGTTAACTTTCCGTACTTTTCTACATTCTATTGTACTGAAAACCCACATCAAAGAGAATTCTTATCCACCGAATATCCCTACCATTTTGCTGTTTATTATTCCTCTGTTTCAATAATACTTAATGGAAAGTGATATTACACTAAATTTAGCACACACTAGTAATATACAACAAGGCTTTCAGATACTTTATATTCATGAATGAACGATTTTATATTTAGATAAAAGGATCACTGGACTATCATTTTACAGACAATGCAACCATATTTCATTGCGTTCTTTCAATACGTCTACAGATAAACTAGGTTGGTAATCATTAATTTTCAAGTATTGGTTTTGTAGGGATTTTGTTTGATTACAACTGACCCTATTCAGGCAGTTAACCTGGGGTTCTAGTGGGAAGCCGTGAACAGTAGGGTACAGCAGGTCGAAGATGAGGCAGTAACTCATCGAAGACATTGCGAAATGGTCGCACTATGTCATGAACTGGCAGAAGTTAGAATTCATGGACTAGCCATTGGATCGGGTCCCAGTGGCTCAATGGTCTACGAGCTCGCCTTGTAACCAGAAGGTCCTGGGTTAAGAACCTCCTGTGGTGGGTGAGTGTTGATGAAGAGTCCCAAACTGGGACGAAACAGCTGTCCAGTACTCTCAGGTTTTCCAGTGGTTCTCTAACTGATGTCAGCTCATGATGAAATCTCCATGAAATCATTAATTATAAATACATTTAAAAATTATCATAGTTACTTACCAGTTTTGGTGGAGGGAAGAATAGTAATAAAATAGCTACACCTGCTCCAAATGAAGCGCCTATAATTGCTTCAAGTGGACCCCAAATTAAATTGTCAACAAAACTTTTTTCTCCAGAAAACGCCACTGCAAGTGCTACACCAAATCCTGTGATTGCAACAACATCATCTAAACTTGAAGCTGCTACAACAAGTGTTGGTATGCCTTCGCTACTCCCCATCCTGTAACTTCTAAACGCATCATATTTGGTACAATAACAGCTGGTGAGACAGCAGCACAAACAAATCTGTAATGCAAACAGTGTTCAAATAATGAATTATATTCTTAAAAAACACGTATCTGTGGTTATACTAGTGAGAATAATTTTGAGGTTTTATGTGAAAATATTTGAGCACTACAAGGTCCACTATTATTGAGGAGATTTGTAGCTCAGGTGGTTGATTTTGACGTGGTTGTGTTCTCTGAGGTGGATAGTTAATTTGCGAAGCTTTCATCTCTTTACTAAGCGACATCTTCAGCGCATACTTCGATTTGAATTAAGCTTTTAGATTTCTCCACGAGTCTATTAGTCATCACTCCTGATGATCACTTTGAACGTGGTTGGTTGTTTTTGTGTGTTTTCAAACTATCTAGGTTACTTATGTTGGAGTTCAAACCTTAAGAAAAATTAACGTCACACACAAACCAACAAAATCACTTCACTCAGCTGGCTCTATGTCAACCAGAAGACTCAACAAAGACTCATCTACAAAATAAATTGTAACAAATGCGAAAAACACTACATTGGCCAAAGTGGACGTGTCCTTCGTCTTCGTATCCACGATCATAAGCTAGCTGTCAAAAGAATGACATCCACTCTGTCATATCACTCCCTGCATACAGACAACCACGGACATCAATTCGACTGGGACAACCAGCGTTCAAATATTGGGCAGAGGAAACACCAAGAATGCTGGAAAATGTTTAGAAGGCTGTCTGGTATTCCAGTGAATCGTCAATCAATAGACACATCGAGATAGAAAAAATTAACCAAGCGATAAGAAGGAAATATCACACACAACAGTCAAAGTTTAAGTCAAGGAATCAATCAATTCCAACACAAGTAACCTAGATGGTGTAAACACACACAAAAACAACCAACCACGTTCAAGGTGATCATCAGGAGTGATGACTAATAGACTCGTGGAGAAATCTAAAAGCTCACTTTATCGAATTGAAGTATGCTCTGAAGATGTTGCCTAATAGGGCGATGAAAGCCACATCAAAAAGGTCCATTATTATACTATCCATAGCATAAAATAGTTTTTAAATGAATTCCTTTACTATACACCCTTTTACTTAATACCTTATCGACGAGCTATAGAAGGAATAAAGCTCAGCTATGTATTAGGTAACACTGTTTTTTATTAGATAAAGGTGATTCTGAACTAAGGACATCGCAATATTTCATAGACAAGCTCATTCAGTTACATAAGAATAAATATCATATAGTGAATAGGAAAATCTAAATGTTACTAAAAATAATAAATATAATTTGTTTTAAATATAAATTTATGAGTATCAGTTAAAAAGCACACGAGATATCATCTTTCGCTCATAATCGATTACCAAAGATATATATTTATGAAAAACCAATGTATTTAACCGTTTGGCATTTGTAGTATTTGCATCACATATATAGAGTTCTCTGTGAGGTAAAACTATAGGGAAATTCAGAATGCATATATATATATATATATATATATATATATATATATATACTATCTATCTGCCCACTACACAATCTCTGCTGAAGTTGATGGTTACAGTGATTCAGTAAACGTGATGAGTTATTTTCAGCTATATAAATTGGTGGTGCGTTGGGAGCTTTAACCTTGCTAAGGTTTGAGCCGCATGTGACAGCTTTGAAGACATAATCTTGATCACTAAGTGATTTTTTCCTACTATCCATACCCACAAAATCATCAAATTGTTTTCGTGGATAACGAAGATGATAAACCAGTCTAGCCTCAAAACTGATTATGTATACATTGATCAGATGATTTTGAAATACCCGTGAACGTACTGGAAATTAAAGCTAGCTGTATTTGACACAATCAAATGAAAGAAATTCCTGAATAAGTTATTATTGAAATCCTTATATTCAAACATGGTTTGCTGTATTGTAAGGCTTATGCTTCAGTGATATCCGACAAAGGCGTTCTGCTGCCTTTACGTTTATTCAGTCAGCTTCATTATAGAATTCCTGAAGAAGGTAATTGATTTCCTATTTGAATGCAAAGGAGAGAACTACTCCAGAATGGGTCTTTAGATGATCTAGGCAATTCAGAAACATTTTTCCTGAGTGTAGGCGTGGATGCTTTTGGACATAGACACATATTATATGCGTCAGTGGCTGAATGTCGCGATCCCCAACAATCAAAAAGATAGTCCAAGCCTGGCTCCCGGTCGATGCATTCGAAAGCCTCGTCTTGATTACCAGTTGATATTAGGCTGTAGGACAATGTAAACTTGAGCATGAAGCAAGCTATTGTACCACTTATAAACAACACCACCATAACTGAAACTTTGGAGCCTGAAGCTTGTAGCCCGTCATTCCACTCTGAATACAAGGAATGGAAATAAATTAAATCAGATGATTTCTGTAATATAACAAATGATAATTTTTTTCATGGAGTCTTTGTAATATTTGATGATCACCTTTTTCTAAAGCTCTTGATAAGTAACTTCAAGTTATATCGTTTGTTGATGAAAGAAAAGTACCATAACGGATTTCAGTAATTTTCAAATTCTCATGTACGCATTAAAAAAACGGATTTATTAGTATTACTAAGAAAGGACTGAATAAAATGTACTGAAGAAGTAAACCAGAGAATTATAAACGTTTCTGTATTTCCCAATGAATGAAAAATAATACATTGTTGTCATTATTTCCATTCGCTGGGAAATAAAAAGCCTTTGTAATAATGATTATCGTATACCGAATTTCCAAAATGTTTTTCAAACTGTTAAAAGTTAATTTGGTTCGGATATATGTAAACTAGGGAATAATGGACGACTGTGCTTTTATACTCAAGGATTTTTCGTCAGTATGCATACCTGACTCTACAGGGGATCAGACCGATGACTTTCGAATTCCATGTGAGTCTGGTGATAACTGAGCGGCTAGTTTGATTCTCACAATCGTATTGCCTGCAGTCTACCCTAGATTTCTAAAATTAGTGAAACAGCATGATTTATTCCTTCAGTAGTGCTGAAATCGATTAGAGGTGTGTAATAATCATTGCTTAACTGAAACCTTAAGTAATGAACGTGTATACGCATAAATTATATCAACCAAGGCATATTTATTGATACTCAAATCTCCACCTCAGCAATTTTTTTCAGGTCATAGGAGTATTCTTGACCTCAGTAGAAAAAGTGCAACATAATTATGCTGCGGAATATTCAATCTAACAGATATACGCAAGCTACGGGCTTGTGACACTTTTTCAACTAATCATTCTACCTGTGTAGTTAGTAACATAATTTATGCATAGTAGGAATCTGTTCACATTAACCCACCCTTTCGTCAGTTTTTATCTTTCAACTCCTTGAAAAGCAGAAGCTAAAAAAATTCCCAGCTCTAGTAAAAAAAATTATCAGTGTACAAAGATGTAGCAGTTTACGTTTCCTTACAGTAACTATACAGTAACCATATACATGACTGCAATTCAAGGACGATGATGGCCCTCTTCAGGCAGTTAACCTGGGGTTCTAGTGGAAGCCGTGAACAGTAGGGTACAGCAGGTCGAAGATGAGGCAGTAACTCATCGAAGACATTGCGAAATGGTCGCACTATGTCATGAACTGGCAGAAGTTAGAATTCATGGACTAGCCATTGGATCGGGTCCCAGTGGCTCAATGGTCTACGAGCTCGCCTTGTAACCAGAAGGTCCTGGGTTAAGAACCTCCTGTGGTGGGTGCGTGTTGCTGAAGAGTCCCAAACTGGACGAAACAGCTGTCCAGTACTCTCAGGTTTTCCAGTGGTTCTCTAACTGATGTCAGCTCATGATTAAATCCTCCATACAATCAATGAAAATCACTACAAAACCAATACTGAAAATTATTAATATATTAGAGAAAACGGGACAGCAGTTCGCTTTCTAATTTGGGGCTTTTGCTCACCAAACTTCCATAGCCACATCAGAGGTTGAACATGGGATTTGAAAATTCACTTACATTTTTGGAATCCAATGACCAATAAATTCTAGCCTAAAATATCTGCGTTTGGTCTTTATGAGGGGTTGTGGTTGTGCTCTACTGAAAAGTTCCGGACTAGGACGAAACGGCTATCTTCTTAAATTAACTTTAGGTTTTCTGGGGTCAACCGGTAATCAGTGGATGGCTTAACTTATACGTTACCCTTATAAAGCAGCCACTTTTTCAGAATCATTGGATCGCAATATTGTAATGCTTATAAGTATTATTAAGTTGTTTATCCCTATAGCTATTAATCTGGAATTCAAGCCTAGTCATAGTACTTTATTAAATTTACTTTGAAGTTATAATTTCGGCATTTTGGTGTCCAATAAATCATTTTTGTCCAAAAAGTAATAATCTTTATGAAACAAAAACTACACCTTGCCTAATTAGTGATTTAGGGCACATTAATGAACACCGACCTCTAAGTCAGATGACGGATCACAACCAGTATGGTGATTTTTTAATATATTAAAGTTACAATAGTCAGTTGTCTATTAGGAATTGGCAACAACTTTGTAAGAATAAAAATTTGAAATTCATCTTGTAAATACACATGCGTGTATACATGCAGGCTGAAAAAAAGAGTACTTACCCGAGTATAGCTCCCCATGCCCAAGGCCATCCAATCAAAAGGCGACTAAACAGCATAAGTGATGCTGCTTCAGAAAGACATGGTATGAATGCCAGACGAAATACACTACCACAAACTTGTTTCAATGCTTGTGGATCTAGGCCTAGACCAGCCCGGGTAAGGATTGTTGTCAAAGCAAGCTGTCGTAAAATACCAGATAAATCTGGATTCACTAGAAGAAGAGCAGCAAACTGAGTACGTGGATCATTTATATTGAAGGGATATTCTGAATCAGAAAAGAGACTCATATTAGACGAACCAATATCACTTCCTAAAGGATAACTTCCATTCGGTAGTTTTCCTGCATGGAAAATCCTTTGTGGAATTAAAAGACCACCAATATTTCTCAGAAATAAACCGCCAAGTAGCATACCTGTTGTCAGTTGAAGAAGAAGAAAATGTGAAAAGCATTGATGATTACCTTACAAACAATTTTTATTTTATAAATAAACAGATTTCCCGGTGAAAATCATTTGTATACTTAAAAGATATCTGGCTACATGCTACTTCAAATATGATCATCAAAATGAGAATTAAATTGAAATTAAGTTAGGTAAATCATCAATGCAATCAGGAGAAATGTAGGTCGACACATGAATAATTATGTCAACATTTCAACTGACAAAAAGAAGCTACTGTTATTGCTAGAGATTTTCATATCGTTATGACGGCTGAATATTTAGTGAACTAGTAATTTTGAGGATCATTTAATATGTGTGTTTTCATGATTGATATATCAATTTTTACAGTACTTTATGTGAGACATCCAAAATGAAGGATTCGGATTTTCCCTATTAGTATCATTCCAGTACTTCCAATGGTTCATATATTGTTGCGCATGTTAACAAAAGGACTTTCAACAGGCTTCAAATTTTTATCAATAGTTGTCTTTGCTCTGTACTGAAGATCAGAGAGCCATTGAAAGGATTAGCAACAAAGAACTCTGTCAGTCAATGAACCAACTAAGGATTTTGTTGCCTAATGAATATGCAGAATAAAATGTAGACAGATCGAACACACACGCTACGGAGGTCACTGAGTAACATCAACCTCCACACCCTTGAGTGGAACCCAAATAGGATACGATAAGTTAGCCTTCCGAGAGTGAAGATCATGTGATGAGGAGATGAAAGTCCATGGACAGTCATGGAGAAAAGGATGAAATGGAGATGTGCCGTTGAGCTCTTATATTCCACTAAAAATCTAAGGGATATTAATAAATAATTATATAAGATGTTAAATGTCATTCACCCTTACAAACTATAATACCAGAAACAGATTATTTCCGGCATACTGCTGATAATATCGTATTTATTCCTTTAAATTACAGAAATCAGTCTCCCATATCGCTTCCGATTCCTATTCACTTAATGGAATTAATTTCTCCTTCAGCTTATTGACCTTATTTTAAGATGTATTTATATTCTTTATTATTATTGTTCCCTTGGGTTCCTAGTGGAACATATGACTTCAACTGAACGTCTCCACTTGTTTCTGTTTTCTGCTGTACTTTTCACCTGCATCCATGTTAGTCCATACTCTTTCAACTCCTCTTCACACCATCTCCTCCATGTCACCTTCAATCTGACGTCCCACTCGCCGCTGCCCTTTCGGGCTCCACTCGAGCAATGGCCTGACGCGTGCGCGATGTCACCCAGCGGCCTTCTCAGCGAGTTTCCAATCCATCTCCATTTTCCCTTGCATATTTGTTGGGCGACTGGTTCTTGTTTTGTTTATTCCCATAGTTTTTCCAACAACCAAATATTCTTTAAGGAAGCTTTATTTTTTAAAATTTATTTTTAGTATCTCAACAAAATCTCTTCTTGCATTCAACCGCTAGAAGTTATTTACATAATTATTATTTTGACATAAAAAACAATAGGAAAAACTTTGGTATATTGTTACTCAGTACTAAAGGACTGGGTGACAATGAAGTGTGCCTTAAAAGTGACAAGCAATACAATAAGTAATAAGGTATTTGACTGCATCACTAGCTTAATCAGATGTTAATACTGCTACTGATTAGCTTTCAACACGTTTAAAAACAAAAATTTTATATATATTACTTTCCTCTGCATTTCCGGTGCTATTAAAGTGAATATCTCCTTCATTTGATCTATTTTAATTTTTATTATTTTGGTCTCTTATTCTGACTTTATTATCATTCTGGAAACAACAAAAAAAAACACGTTATTTACACTGACTGACAGTGACTTAATGTTCTTCGCCTATTCAATAATAAAGAGTAGAGTAGAGATTACCGAAAGTACTTCGATATTAATTTCAGAAATATTCAAGTAAGTAGTTTAGCGTATTTGTTCATTTTTGTTTTTTGTTTAATCTCTACCTTGGAAAGTCTAAGTTTTTCCTCTGAGATTCTTCTTTCTTAATTAATAATGGTGTAGTAAATAACATTCGTGTTTTACTCTATTAAAACAGGAGTTAATGCATACATAAGAAATTATCAGATAATAACCTTTTTGCATATTAGTTTGTTTATTAGATGTATCACACAGTGAAACAGCTGTATTTACTGGATGACGTTTCTAATAAAATTTATTTTTCATTTTCATTTCATCAATTATAATCACACGACTTTGAAACTTTAGTTTTATAGCTTTCTTTGCCCTCTGTCATTTGTCGTACGGGTAGTAGAATAATAACAGTAACATTAATGACGACATGCTTGTCAAATATGCGCAAGACAACACCAACAATAACGAATCTAAATCATCAGTAGTAATTTCATACAAGGAAGGAACCTCGGAAAGCTTATGCAGAACTCTTAACAAGGCAGGCAGTAATAAAAGTGTCTGGCATTTAAACAACCCACAAACTTAAATAGAAACAAGCTTTATAGGTTAAAGGATCCTGTGGAGCCTTTAACATAAAACGATTTAGTCTATCTCACACACTATTGTAATGATTGTCAGGTCAAATACATAGGTCACACTAGTAGAACAGATGCAGTCAGTCAGGCTAGCCGAACATTAAAACCCAGCAAAATCTAGATTAGTCGACCCAAATAGGATACAAAATCTAGAGAATAGTTCAGCCATGGCACTATATGCAATCGCACACAACCATACAACACGACGGGATAAGATGACAGTTTTAAAATCTAATGTCACAGGGTGGAGGCGGAGATTGATAACAGAACCTTTGTTTATCGAATCAACTGCAAATACGTGTAATAGGAATGATTCAACACCTGTCTACACAAATATCTGGAAAGTTCTACTACCACAACGACGACAAATAAGAGAGAACAGAGAAAACTACAAAACTCAAGTCTCGAAGTTGTGTGGTTATACTTGATATGATTATGAACAATAAATTTTGTTCGAAACACTGTCATCCAGTAAATAATACCGTTTCCCTCACTGTGTGATACATCTAATAAACAAGCCAATATGAAATTAATTACTACCACAGTGCTCAAGTTTTACACATATATTGATAAATGTTTCTTTTTCAGTCAAACCAGGTTACTGAAAAACATCAAATTTTAAATAGATCGTCGGTTCGGAAAACATTCTAATGAGATTCTAAGTGTAAAAGACTTAGCGATATTTTGCATAACGCCAGTTGAAATTGAAAAAAAGAAAAAGGCACTTTCAACTATAAGCTAAGGTCATTATAGATAAACGTTGAAATTCATATTTACTTATTGTGTGAATTAAGACAAATGTTCATATTTAGCTTCAAACCGTATCAAAATAAATTGGTGTTGTGAAGATTTTTAGAAGGATCTTTATAGTTTAGACGGTAAGTATTTTTGCTTAGTCCTAACTAAAAAATTGCTTAATGAAAAGAGTGTCAACCAGAGAAGTTATAAGGTGATTACGTCATTGCCTAGTTTCATACAATCCCCCCCTATAATTATCTATTTAATCCTGCATCTACCTGACTTTAGATGTAACTGATTACATAACAGATGGCATTTAAATACAAGTGTATAAATATACTGTTGATTTTTTCACATCTCGATGTATTATTTGGAAGATCATAACTCCCGGGAATGCAGGTGAATTTATATGAAGCATAGTAAAAAGTAACCAGCCAGTGCACCATAGGTATGCATATTCAACCTCATATCAAATCTGGTAACTAATATCTGAATAAAAGCTTAAAATAAATCTTAATAAAAGGTCGAATAAACAAAGAATGCTGATACTATTCTCTTCTAGGTCTACGGAAACTTAATAAATGTGCATTAGTGAATCACATGATTTGATCATGGATTCCTATTTTTGTACACACACACACTTTATATATATTCTTTTAAAGATCCTACCAGTTGAAAATTAGTTCACAGATATACAAATTTCAGACTGTACAAGATGAAAATGAATAATAAATGTAAAATGATACTTCCTACTAATTAACTGACATAAACAACTGGAAACAATCACATCAATCAGTAGCTCTTCTTAGCCAGACCAAAGTGATCTATACAAGGGATGGTTGCTTCATCGGAGGTGTATTCCGTGTGTCTCGGATTACACAGCGAATCACTTCAAGCCACTCGAATTTTGGCTGCCTAATGGGGAGAAGTGCAAGCAAACTGCATAAGATTTGTGGCTCGCTAAGTACACACACAGTTCCAGGTACAACCTCTTCACCAAAAATAGCTAATGAGAGCTCCAGTGGTTTGGAGTGATTCATCTCTCTGATCTGACAAAATCAGGAATACCACTGGGATGGGTGAAACTGCTCCCTGGTGTTCAGATCATTTCAATATAATTAGCAAGGACTGCTTGTTGACGTGACTTACATCAAACCACTTGTATCAGTCAGTCAGTCATTTAGTCAGTAGTATATACCTTCATGCATTTATGCTTTTTATCTTGACTGATGTTTATGGTATCAAACAGATCTCATGCTGTGATTTGAACAATTTCGGTTACAAGAGAAAAAATAACATGAGAATTCACCTCGATTTGTCCAATTTTCAGACAGCTAATTCGATCGACATTTTGAGGGTTATCATATATATAACAATAATTTATTACATAACTTGATAGTTTCATAATTTTTCCACAGATTAGAAAGTTTTCACAAAAGGTTATTTCAATATGTCAGTTTTTTCCATCACGCTCCCCAGCGAAATATAGGGCTTCAAGCTAGTGGCTGGAAGTTTCGGTAGCAGTGCTTATTTTACACGATGAGGTTGCTAGCCTCATGTCCAATCTTTCCTCTTTATCAGCATTATTTCTGGCTTAGCGAGGTAAAGGAGCGCGTCGTTGGCCGGGAATCAAACCCCGGACCAAGTGCATAATCGGCGAGTGTTCTAAGCGCTATACCACTGACGCGAAAATGTCAGTGGAGCACAAAAACTGAAATTAAAAACTTGAGAATAACACGCCTCAA